ACCGGATCTCTGTATTAGGGAAAGCTTACTCTTTAGTTAACCTGATCGTTGGTTCACGCCGCGAAGGGGTGGAGTGTGTGGGAACTGCTGAGTCACGACCTGAACCTCTGATTGATCACCTGAGGTGAGCCATGAGCCAGCCCTGGGAGCACAGGTGAAGGCAATTCACCTGGCTGCACCTCTCCTGGACCCCACTTAAGAGCTGTCTGCCAGTAGAGAAGGATCTGTTCTGGAGATCCCTCTTCTCGAGTTTTACAACGTGCTCAGGAGGTGGGTAAGCTTTCTGTCTATTCTCTTTTTGTTATTATAATCTTTTTTGCCAAACTCTCTTGTTTCTTTCATAATTATAACATCTTTGTATTTGTTGACTCTTCAGTGGGAAAATGTTCTGGGCCGTTTTGCTGGGCCAAAATGGCACCTTAGCTTTCTGCAGGTTATGACAGCCAGTAAGGCCACACAATATGCAGAGCCTGCCTCCACCCCCCGTTCCAGAAAACTTCCGGCTCTGAGTGCATCTCAGTCCAAAAGCTTAACATTTACTGTTTTACAGCACTGCAGTTGTGCTAGGTATGACAGTGCTTAATCAACAGTTAAAATACACTGACTTGGGTAGTTCTGGTAAATCATGGTTTCCCTGAAGAAGTCTGTGAAGGCCTAGGATGTGTCCTCCTTCTTAGGGACGAAGTGGCAGAAGGTAGCTTATTTGATGCCTTTTCAGTGAGAATGCTTTGGAATATCTTGAGTTTCTGGGAATCTGATAATGATTCTTGTTTAAAAAAATAAAAATAAAAAGTAAATGGGATTGTACTTTACTAAAGCAGTATGCAAGCTGTGAGGAGATTTTCTGAAATTGGCTTGTTCTGGAAACTTTTGACCTGTCATTTTAATCAGTGAAAGCATAATTGTCCCCAGATTTTCCATGCTTTATTTTCCCTGAACTTGCTGAGGTTTGCACTGGATGTCAGGCCTGGGAGACTTAGACTTTTTTTGTCTGAAGCTTGTATTGTACTTTGTTCTTTTCCAGGTTTTTTGAGAACTGCAAGAGGAATTTTTCTGCTTTAGAATATGTACTTTTCTCCCATGTTCTATGTTTGTGTATTTATGGTGCATTTATTCACTGAATGGAAACTTTCCAGAACTCTCCGGGAATATGCAGTTTGTCCACTGTTTCTGGATTTCCAGTAGCATTCTCAGTGAAGTTCTTTATACCTTTCTCTAGACATCTGAGATGGATAATATATTGGTGGACAAGCAATTTACAGTAACCTCTTATGACACTTTTTTTTTTTTTTATAGCTTTCTGAATCGTAAGTGACATGCTGGTGAAGCTGAACAGCTGATCTCCAGATACTGTTATAGTATTAACCATGGCATCTGAGGCTGTTCAGAGTTTTCTTCAGCCGCTCTCTTCTTGGTTGTCTCAAATATACGAAGCTATCCAACAAGCAGGAGACTCCATATCTGCTTCACTGCTGAATTTGAGTGGAGTCGGTCGTGAGTCAGAAGAAGATAGAAACCGGGGCTTGGAAGGCAGTGGAGTAGCTTATGAGGATTATTCTGTGGAATCAGAAGATGAAAGACGCATAGACCTGTGGGATGAGGAGTACACGTGCCCTAGAGAAGATGGTCACATTGCAGGTCATGATCTTGCTTCAAAGGCCCTCCCCTGTGGTTCTGACATGAGTCTGCAGAGGCAAAAATGGGTTAAAAATACCACCAGCTTACCCCAGCAATGTACTGAAAGGACTGGGCCTTTGGCTGCCGATGGATCACATTGGATGAACGAAGATCTGCAGCCACTTCCTACTATCTCTGAAGATGAAAGTGAGCGCTCTGTGAGGATGAGAGGTCATGATTACAGCATCAGCGTGGGTAGCTCTTTAGAAATTAATAAAGACAAGGCAAGTTTTGCAGGTAAGCAGCCAGCAGACACCTAGATTTCTCATCTCTGGTATTGATTTGATGTAGTAGCATATCTGCTCGTTTTGTTCAGTGTAGTCTTTGTTTCTCACCATGAAATAAAACTGCATTGAAAATCCCAGAGAAAAGTCTAACCTTTCCCTCTTCTCTTCCCAGTTCTTTTCTTATTCATGAAACTGATCTAATTGAAATTAGTGGAAATTTTCAGAATTAAATGCTGTATATTAGATACCAATCAGAGCCTATTGCAGCAGCACAGAGTGTTTTTCTATGCTCACCGTGTTTTGTTTCGGGTAACAGGATCTTTTGAAGGAGTGTTTAGCCTTAAGCCTTTGCTTTGAGGACCATCTGCCTTTTCATCATTGCTATTAAAGATATATGTTTAATCTTAAGCCTTGTTTCTTGTGCCAGGAACCTCAAGATGTTACTGTGCCATGTGCTGCGAAATGCTCTACTAAAAAGCCAGTCATATCTCATGATCTTAGGGATGAAAGGCTCCCAAATCATTTTTCCTCTCTCCCACCACCACCACAGACTTTTTGATTTAAAGTGAAAAGGACAGCAGTCAGGAGATTATGGGATGGGTAAATCAGTTTGGTGTTTTCAGTTTTAATGATCAGAAGTCATAATTAGGTCTAATTAAATGACATGAACAGCTTCTCAAGTACTTACGTTCAGGGCTGAATCACAGCCACTGGACTTTTATTCTAGTTACTACTGTAGATGTGGGTAGAGGTTGCCTGGTTCACAGAAAACAAATGGGGGTGTGTGTTCCAACCAAATGTTTGAAATAGGAAGTTGAAGCTATTAAAATGTTTGCTTTAAAATGGTCAAGAGCTTTTCATCAGGAGTTCTTTCACCAAGAACCTTTCTACTTCTAGGGAAGTGTTATATGCATTTAGCCTTTTTGGTGTAGGCTGTCGAAGTTTAGGCTTTCTGGTTTTGCTTTTGATAGGAATATCAGGCTAAAGGTATAAGCTCTGACTGCATTCTTTGGATGTTAAAATTAGCTCCTTTCTTTATTACTGTTCTTACACTGTCATGGCCAGGGTATAAGATGATGAAGGGACTGGACTAGCTTTCCTAGAAGGAGAGACTGAGATCTGAGACTGTTCAGATGGAAATGAGGAGGCTTGGGGGGGGGGGGGGAGGAGAGAGGGGGAAATCTCATCAATGTCTGTAAATACTGGAAAGGAAGGTATGGAGCCAGTCTCTTGTCAGTGGTGCCAAGTGCCAGGACAAGCATGTTCCAAATGAATGAGCACAGTTTATTTGGAAAAGCACCCTGGAGATTCTCTACCCTCTGGTTCCCCAGGCTTTTCCTATACATTGTCTGTGCAATATCCTTCCCTGGAGGTTTGTTCACAAACACCAAGTCGAAGCCAAAGGGATGAGTTTAGTGAGTGTTTGGATCTAGTGTCCAGAGCACAGGTGCACTGGAGCAGGCTAAGCATGTGCAACCCTGATTGCTGCAGGACCTTTCAGAGAAGTACCCCAACAGAGGCTGCCAGAGCCATTCAGAGCTATTCAGAGCAGGCTGGGGAGCAGTACGTGCCAGATGTGTTCTGATGGTGACCACCAGGTCTTTCTCCTATCTCTGGACCCATACCTATGTTCACAGAGGATGGGAGAAAAGATCATGAACTCTGAGAGCTGAGAGCCAAGAATGGGCTGCTGTCACTGTCAAAGCAGTTTTTCACTTGCGGTCTTATCTTTGGGGACATCTGAAAAGCAGGGTTCTTAAAAGCATGCAGATGGATGAGATGGGCTCACAGTAGAGAGACACTCAGGTACTGGAGTAACCTGGCACAGCAGCTGAAGAGAATTGCTGTCAACCTTTTCCCAGTCGAGAGCAGGTGCTGATGACCAAGTTGCTGTTGCTGGGCTCTTGTTTATTACCTATTAGCTTTCCTTCTTAGTAGGCTGTCTGGAGCTGCTGTGGAGTAGGAGGCTGTCTTTATAGAGCTTGCCAGCGCCTACACTGATGCAGCCTGGAGCTCTCTGCTTCCACATGAAGCGCTTCAGAAGGCATTGCACAGCTTTTTACGCCACGGGAAATGTCACTGTAAATGCTCAGAAGTGGTCTTTTATCTCTTTATCTCTGCACTGCACTGTACAGAGGGCCATCCAGTGCCCTCAAGACATGACAGTCATGAAGTTGGCTGCTTGAGGGCTGGGACCTGGTGCCTTTTTTTCCTCAAAGCTATCCAAGTTGTATAATAAGAGAGAAGGTGCTGAAATGTGATATGAAAATATCTTCCACAACACACACACATGCTCTTTGTATTTCATGTATTTATTTGTATTTCCTTTTTTTTTTCCTTTAGATTCATTCTCTAACATCAAGAGTATGAACTCTTGTGATGGTAACCTAGACATGCAGAGAGCCTGTAATACCCTGAGAACTTAAAATTTCAGTCGTGCATTAAAATGATCAGGAGATGTTTGAGGTAGCCTTATTTCTGTTAGCTTTGTTATCTAACCCTAAGTGACAATGTAAGTGAGCATATGGACTTGCTGACATTCAGCAAAGGCATTCAGTAGCATCAGTATTAGCTTTGAGCATTTTTCCTTGCATTTGGCATATTTTCATCATTTCTCCAAAATGCGTGTTTCCTGTTTATCCTTATATTCTTTCAGAACATTGCATCTTGACTTTATTTCACTTAATGTACCGTATTTCTCTTCACAATAGAATATTTTAAAGCTAAATTGGCACAAAACAGTTGCAATGCTGAATGCTTTTTGTTGCCATGGAAATATTCCTGGGCACTTACTGACGACCTGGTTGCCAATAGTAATGTAACAGAGAAAATAGATATGCTTCATTTAGCAGCCACTGGTGATTAAAGAGCCACAGAAACCTGTTACAAGGTCATTCCAATATATAGCTTATTAGGTTTAAGAGAAGAGAAAAATCACGCCCCAGAGGAGAATAATTTTCTTTTCTTAAAAAAAAAAAAAGAAAGAAAAAAAGATTCAAAACAAAATCCAGTTGTTCACTGCTCTTAAACTTAAAGCGTGCTTCTGAGACAAAATAAAATTGCAGTTAAAAACCATCATTACCCCATTTTCTTTTTATCAAATATGTTTTTGATTGCATTTTTGCCTCCTAAAGAAAAGTGTCCTAGCTCCATTAGTAGCTTTTCTGAGGCCTCAAAGCAGCAAACACATTACTGAAAATCATTTTTAGGCTTAGGGATCTAATATATAATTTGAGCAGTGAGGTTCTGGCGTCTGTAAATCAAATGTCTGATAGATCATAGAATTACTGAGGTTGGAAACGACCATCCATTCTAACTGTCCACCTATCAACAATATTTCCTGCTGAACTGTGTCCCTCTGCACAACTTCTAAACCTTTGTTGCACGCAGTGCTGACACTGAGGCGTGCTAATCAGCAGGGTGCTGCTTTGGCTGCTGCTGAGTCCCAGTCTGTACTTCAGTGATGCTAGTAATGTTGTGCCAAGTTGAAAAACAAATGCAGGGATAAGCTTTTCACTTGAGATCCTTTTGAGCCACAATTTAAAAATGAATGAAGTTGCTCAGTAGCGCAAGCTGCTTGGTGTAAGAGGTTAGCAATGGGTATGCAGTCCCTTCCATGCATGCAGATCCCTGCTGCCCTTCACAGAGCATGTAATTGTAAATTACAGATTTTCAGTTTGTTGTAAATACAGAGGAACTTGCTCTTGCAGCTGCCTTGAGACCCTCCCTTGCTGTCTAACCTCAGTGTGTCGTCCATCTATGAACAGGTAGGGGAAGAGCTTTTGCATCCTCCTGTGTCTGAGATGCTATCAGCTGACTGGGGGTGGCTGCTGAGAGCGTGGCTGCCAAATCTATCATTGCACATTTGGCTTAAGAGTTGGAAAAAAAAACAGCAGAGCAATAAGGCACTTCTAAAAGTAGTACACTGCTAACGAAGGGGTAGAACAGATCTGTTTCTCAGCCTAGTTCTCTTATAGAAAGAGAAGTAATAATGAAAAAAGTGAGGAATAGCAATAAGCACACCGTAAATACAGTGATCTTAATCTGCTTCTTCCTCAGGGTCCATGTCCTTTGCAAAAGAAAAAGTTAGTGACCACTAAGATAGTGGTTCCAGCAACCACTGCTCTGGAAAGGCACGGGGAGAGACACGGCAGCAGAGCTGAGTCTTCTGAATCAAACGGATCTATTTTTGCACAGTGAGTTCTGTGACTGAAGAGTCTCCCGAGCTGTCTGACACTGTGTTCATAACACTAGTGTAATATATAGGTGAGCACTGTGCTTAAATGGCATGAAATCCATGGAGGTTTTTTCCATCAATTAGGCAATCTCAAAGCTAGCTAAAGTAAATTTTTTGACCTTAGAATGCTAGGAGGTTTGATGTCCTAATAGGAATGTTGTCTAGATGGCTAGATATCTCTCTTCAATGCATGTAAAGGGAGGCACACCTCTGAGGCTCTGGGAATTTTAAAACTAGAGAGCACTACTGCATTTACTTACCTTGGCCTCCAGCTTAACAGGGGTCATTGATTTTTGCCAGTAATTGCTGTAGTGGAAGAAATTATTCTTTCTGCTGTACGTGAACGCTCCTGACCTCAGTAAACGACCCTTCATACAGCCAGGAATTCCTAGGCAAGAAGTGAGTTTTCATTAGGTCCTGTAGTCCCATGTAGCAAAATAGACCCATAAGAAAAATATGTTGCTTGTGTGATAAATCAAACTTCGGTGTGAACCTGAATCTACAATAGATAGATGGCCTGTTTCCATTTTTGAAGATCCTAAGTGCTGATGTATTTTATTATCTGTCTGGCTATGGAGCCAGCCAGTGCTCCAGCCAGAATGTAGCCCTATAAAATCAGTGCCTGCACTCCAAGCAGGACATTTAAAGAGGCTACACTAAATTGACAGCAGCGCTAACACTGAGTGAGGGCAAGCAAAGGCACATAGTGGGCAAAAGCACTTCACAGAAAATACTCCTGGTTGCTCAAGTGGGAGAAAGCATAACGTGACTGG